CTTGTGCATCTCCCGTCACTTCATGTCAGTTGGATGCTTTGCTCTCACCTCTACTCTTCTGTGGCTATGTCCTTGTCCATGGGCCAAGGAGTTCCCAGGTCTAACCATACTTTGGAACAACCAGCTGTTGTTCTGTCTCACTTAGCTGCAGGTCAGTGGGAGTCTATGGAATGTGGTTGAATTTAGCTCATTTCTTCACTGCTGCCTCTTTCCCTCTTTCATTCACCAGCAGACCAATGATGCCACCAGGAAGTTTACATGCCTGCTCATGTGTTCTATTTGAGTTTCAGTCTTGGACGGGGGGCTTGTCTTGAAGGGACTTGATTGCTTGCCTTGATGGCTCCCCAAGGAACAACTTGCTTGTTCTTGTAGTAGCCAATCAGATTGTCATTTTTGATTTTTCCTGTTTTTCTTTCTTTTGAGAAGTATTTTCTGTTCCTCTAGCTGTTCCAGACTGGGGTCTGATTGTCTTTTCAAGTGGGAATGTCACACCTCAGAAAGTTCTGGATGGGGCTCAGGGTTCCCCTAAGGTTCTATATACTACAAAGTCACTGCAGTAAGCCTATTTTACTGGGCAAGTTCTAGAAACCCTTTTAGGTATTCCAATCAGTTAGAGGCTGAAGACGGTCTTACAAGCTTTCTATAATCATGTTTCCTGATATTCTTTTCTATCCCACTTAAGTGTCTATTTTACAATACTAGACAAGGGAAACCAGTATTCGAAAGAGAGTCAAGCATTTTACCATTGTTTCCACTTGTTTACCATTCAAACTATGCTTCAATCCCTGTTTCACAGAACCCTGTTGTTTCAAGGTTGAGCACACTCACTATTTACCTCTGTCCCATTTAGCCCATGCAAACCTGCATCAGTGTTCCCCTGTTTACCTTGTTCTTCCATTCCCCTCCTCCTTCTTGTTTATTGCCATTGCCAACATCTGAACTATGATTGGTCTATCTCCTACCCTGTGCTCCACCACTCCCCTTAGCACCACCCCCACCCTACCCCTGGTAACCAACAATTTTTTTTTTTTTTTCCTTTTAGTATGGGTATCTTTTCTTAAGCTTTTAAAATAATGATCTTATGCAATATTTATCCTTTTGTGATTGACTAATTTCACTCAGTATAATGTCCTCAAGGTTCAACCATGTTATGTGTTACCTTGCAGCTTCTTTGTTATTCTTCAAGGTAGCATAATATTCCATTGTGTATATGTACCAATATTTGTTTATCCATTATTCCATTGATGGGCACTTAGGCTGTCTCCATCTTTTTGCTATTGTGAATTGTGCTGCTATGAATATTGGTGTGCATGTATCTATAAGTGTTATGGCTCATATTTCTTAATGGATATATACTAAGTAGAGGAATTGCTGGATCATAAGGTATTTCTATTTCCAACTTTCTGAGGAAGTGTCATACTGTTTTCCAGTGTGGTTGGACCATTTTGCATTCCCACTAGAAATGTAGGAGGGTCCCAGTCTCTCCACATTCTCACCAGCATTTAGTGTCCTCTGCTTTTTAGAACTTCACTGTTATTGCTAGTGTGAGATGATATCTCATTGTTGTTTTGATTTTCATCTCTTTGACCGCACTTAACAACAACAACAATGGTCGTTGATCATGAACATTTCTTCATATGTTTGTTGACTGCCTGAATATCTTCCTTGTTGAAGTGTCTGTTCATGCCTTGTACCCATTTTTAAATTGGATTGTTTGTCTTTGTCTTGTAGAGGCATTGTAGTTTCCTATAGATTTTAGAAATTAGTCACTTGTCTGATGTGTAATTGCAAAAGATTTTTTCCCATTCTTTGGATTCCCTTTTCACTTTTTTTGTGAAATATTTTGATGCACATAAGTTCGTAATTTTCAGAATGTTCCAATCATCAATTTTTCCTTCTTTTGTTCCTGTAATTTTCACAATGTTTGGTAGTTGGTTGTGCTTTATATTAGTGCACTTAAAGTTGTCCCTATTTTTCATTGATGACCTTTATAATTCTAGGATTCACATTTAGGTCCTTTAATCCATGCTGAGTTGTTTTTTGTATATGGTGTGAGGTAAAGGTCTTGTTTCAATCTTTTGCATTTACTATGTGTTTTCAAATACAAGTGAAATATGGAACAACCTTCAGAAAGTAAAAACAACACAGTCTTCACTCACTGCTCCATTTTTCCCAAATGTCATTGAGAAGGTCTAAAATTATATGATGGTATGTTTGGGAACTACAATTATTCCACTAAGATTTAACTCCATAAAATTTGCCTTTAAGTTGTGATTCTCAATTATCTAGCAATACTTTCTTAGTATTTTAAATCATATATTCCCATCCTCTAATTATTCCTCAGCAAGTCTTTTTGTATGACAATCAATAGTTTTCTATTTTTGTCTTTCTCAGACCTTCAGAATCACTCACACCTGCATGGTGGTCTCTATTGTCAGCTTTGATCTATCTGTAATCATCATTCCTTCCAGTCTTATCTCTTCAAGTCTCATCTCTTCTTAAAAACCACTCTATACTGATTAGTCTCCACTTTCAACTGCTTTTATAGTTTGCTCTCTCTTTCATTATTTTAGTCTACATGGAGTCCTGGTATGGCACTGTCGGATAATCACTGAGCTGAAAGATCAAATTGAACTTTAATGTTGGCAGTTCAAACTTACAAGCCCCTGCTTGATAACCCTATACAGGACTGGAACTGACTTGGAAGGCCCTTAATAACAACATACGGACACATGCAAGAGCCCTGGTGGTACTGTGGTTACAACTCTGGGCTTCTCACTGAAATTTAGACAGTTTGACCCCACCAGTCTTTCCTCAGAAGAAAGATAGAGCAGTTTCCATAAAGATCTAAAGTCCTGGAAACCCAGTAGAGTTGGGTTTCCTCAGGGGTGACGTTGAGTCAGAATATACTCAGGAACAATGGGTTTGGGATTTAGTTTTGAACATGTTCAAGTATATATGTGGGTTTTGCTAATTTGACTTTATAAAAAGAATTTTTTGCATTATGAATTAGAAAGCATAAATTTTGGCTCCCTAAATAAATTTTGTCTCTCTAAATAAACGAGTGATGGTAAGGCCAGCAGTTCAAACTCACCAGCCACTCCTCAGAAATCCTATATAGGGTTGCTATGAGTCAGAACTGACTTGAAGGCATTTAACGATAACAACAACAATATAAAGTGATAGATGGAAGCCTCCAAAACCCTATATAGGGTAGCTGTGAGTCCGAACTGGCTTAGCAGCAGACAGCAACAATGTGTGATAAGCTAAGATGAGGTTTACAGTTAGTTTGGAAAGTATCCAAAAGTGAAAGTAGTGAGACAAATTCATTTATTCCACATTTTTACCCTCTAATGGGCAATTCAACTGTGTCTAAATAAGTTTTGCATGTGTTAGAAATATGTAACACATATAAGTCAAGAGAAACATTTGTTAATAGTAGAATTTCTTTGATGTAGAGGTTTTTGTTTTGTTTCCTTTTGTTTTGAGACTTAAAAAATACTAGCTTGAAATAAATAGACAATCAATATAACACAGGTTTAAAGATCTCATAAAAATAACAATATTAGTTAATTTACCTTTTATTTTAAACCTAGACTTGTGCTTGCTTATTGTTTCATTAGATCATTTTAGAGGAATGTACAGTCATTTTAGCCCAGGCTCTGTGACATGAGAATGAATATTTTTTTAATAAATGGTGAATATATTCAGGAGATCCTGAATTTGAAATGAAATATATTCCAGTAGAAAATTATTGAGATTCTGATAATGGCAAACTAAGCCAGAAGTAAATAGTTGATAGCAATGTATTTCTAACAATAGCATGCTATGGGCAAAACTGTTTATTTTGGTTTCTTGTGTAATGTTGTTCAAGCTTTATAATCATATGTTTATTGGAAATGGTGTAGTTAGATGGCAAGTCAATAATTTTCTTGTAGTAGATATCCTCTAAGTATCAGGAAAATCTTTATGAAGAAGATAAATTGTTCCATATTATATTATTTACAAAACTTTAAAACTCACACATAGCATTGGTTTAGTTCTCTTGAGTATAATTAACTTTTCTGTATTAGACAAAAAAGTCATATTTGAAAACTGGCAACTCTGTAAGTTCTAGTACTAAGAGCATGTGTTTAAGTTAAAATTCATTTTAATAAGAGAAGATAATAAAAAAATGATTAACAAAGGAAATTATATCTGTGAAAGAATAGCTTTCATAATAAATTTAAAATGCAAGTTTTATTTATTCTACATTGAAAAAATAAATTTGATTTTTTGGTTCCCATGGCCCAATGTTTTAGTCATTTAGGTAAGGATAACAACTTTTATTAATTTTTTTTCTATTAAATTTACTTTCCATGTCACCTAGAGTAAAATGGGGATAACTGTCTCACTTTCATATTTGCTTTAGAAAACTAATGTAGAAAACTTTGTATCCAATCTGTGAACTTTGAGACCCGGGCATACACCCCTGGACGATTAGGCCGTGCACACTCATATCCAAATGATGTCACTCCAGCAAGGAACCACCTGTTGTTTTCTTGGCACATTAATGGTCCTCCTGAATCGCCCTTAAAAGTGAGTTGGAAAAGAAAATTTTAAATGTGTTGTTAATTTATATGTATATATATATTTAACAAAGCAACTAAAAATTAAAATTCAAAAATAGGATTTAATTATAAATTATTTGTTTATATTATTAGCATTATTCCTGGTCAGGAATGAGAACCCTATGTTCCTCAGTAAGGAGATAAAAAGTATGATAACTAAACAAATTTATATTTAATTTTCCTATTATACATTTTCATAGCAAGAGTTTTCTCACTTTAATTGTGGCATTAAAATAGGCACTCAGAAATTCCCTAATACATACTTTAAAAACATGTCAATCAAGATATACATTAAAAACCAATTATTTAATTAAAGTAGATATGTTCTAAGCATTATCAAGGGTTTTGTGAAGAAACAGATTTGATCAATGTCAGACAGAAGAATTTGGTTGAAGTCTTCAGTTTCATCATCATTGATTTTAGTGGTTAGTGTATAAATTTGATTAATAGTGGTATTGACTGGTATAGATCTGATTTTTTTTTTAAATGATTAATTCAATGCCATTTTTCTTCATGGCATAGCAAATAATATGACTGCCGCATTCAGTAAGACAAATAAACTAGTCCAGTTGAGTTCACTAATGCCTTTTTGTGTTTCATTTCATTTTTTGATAACTTTAATTTCTTAAGCTCATACTTCCCATATTCCATATACCCATTATTAATGGATGTTTATGCTGCTGTTTCTTCTTATTTTGTGTTATGTCCCATCAGTAGTGAAGGCCTTGAAAGCTCTGCTTCTTTGTGTCATTAAGACCATCTCTACTTTGAGGAGGCATCATTTCCTTAGTCCTATTTTGAGTACCTTCAAACCTGAGGGACTATCTTCTAGTCCTGTATCAGACTATCTTCTTCTGCTATTCCTAATGCTTTCAGAGGCTAACCATTTAGAAGTTGTCCACTTCTCCTTTTTGGTAGTCTGTCTTAATCTGGAAGCTCCACTGAACCTATGCACTGTGGGTGATCATGATAGCATTTAAAATACCAGTGGAATAGCTTCCAATATCACATCAACACACAAGCCATCACTGTCCAACAAATTAAAAGAAAAAATGGTAAATTGGTATGTTAGCGAGTGCTTAAAGTAGTCATTTGGTTTTATTTATATTTTCTAGCATTTAAAATACATTTATTTACAGTGCTGTTGTTTTAAGTGCCGCCAAGTCGGTTCTGCCTCAGAGCAACCCTGTGTAGGGTTTTCAAGAAGAGGCTGGAAAGTTTGCGCTGCCAACCTTGCAATGAGCATTCTAGTGCTTAACTAACAGCATGACACCAGGACTCTTATATGTAATAGAATACAGATATTGATTACTTGAACAAGGATTTTAACTTAGTCAGGACATACTGGGTCAGTTACAGATATTCGAAAGAGCCTATAGATAGCTTATTGTCTCATTGCTGGGTAGTCTGTATGGATGGGTGAACTAGGTCTAATTAAATCACTCCCCATCATCAGAGTACATAATTTCAAGTAAATTATATAACTTTTCTTTTCCTTAATTTTATCATTTGATCAGTGTAAGTATTTTTCCCCCCCTATCTTAGAGATATGGTAGCGTAGTGGTTACAAATTGGGCTGCGAACCTAAAGGTCAGCGGTTCGAAACTACCAGCCGCTCGGCGGGAGAAAGATGAGGCTTTCTACTCCCGTAAGGATTTACACCCTCGGAAACCCTGTACAGGGTCGCTAAGGGTCGGAACCGACTCGACGGCACTTAACAACAACAACAACATCTTAGAGATATGTAAATATTTTAAATATAAAGGAGTGCCAGGCACATATATTGTTAACCTAAAATTCATGCTTCCCCTTAGATGTTATATTTGTCAAAAAAAAAAAAAAAATCATCTATTATTTTACTGCGTATCTGAGGGTAATAATTGACAATCATTTTTATTGAAAATGGTGGCTCTTAAACTTTAGTGTACTTCATCACCACTTGGAAAGTGTGTTAAAAACACATTGCTCAGTTCCACCTCCAGATTTTCAACTCCCAATGGTTTGAGGGTGGCACCTGAGACTTTGCACTGAAACCTCAACAGTTGCTCCTCAGAAACCCTATACAGGGTCACAATTTGTTGAAGGAGATGTGTGTGTTATGCTTTGAGAACCGAGAACCACTGGTATAATGGTTTTATTATTTTAATAACAATTCTTATTTCATTAGTAAAATCTCCTCCTTATTTTAGTATTACAGTTGAAAAAAAATCATGTGATCAGATAGGGTTTTGATTATTTGTTTACAATAAAATAATATTGCACAGATATTATCTTGTATAGGCATTTTCTTACTTGCTAGTGAGTAATTAATTTGGGGGAGCACGATGGCTCCATATGATAAGCACTGGACTCAGAACCAGAAGGTCTATGGGTTGAGTCTTCTAGCCACTCTGTGAGAGAAATACCAGTTTCTGCTCCAGCAAAGATTTTAAAAGCGTCAGAAACCTAAACAGGATCACTATGAGTCAGAACTGACTTAAGCACACTTAATAATAACAACAATGAGTAATAGGAGTCCTGGTGTGGCACTGTAGGGTAAGCACTGAACTGGTATACACAAAATCAGAGGTTCAAACCTATCAATTTGCTCCTTGGAAACCCTCTGTTGTTGTAGTTGTTATGTGCCGTGGAGCCGGTTTCTACTCACAGTGACCCTGTATAGATTTTCCGAAGCTGTATATCTTTACTGGAGCAGAAAGCCTCATCTTTCTCCTGCGGAACAGCTGGTAGTTTCGAACTGCTGACCCTGAGGTTAGCAGCCCGATTCGTAATCTCTACGGTACCAGAGCTCCTTTGGAAACCCTTTACAGGGTTACTATAAGTGGAAATTGACTCAGCAACAATAAGAACAAAAAGTAGCTTATTTAAACGCTGAAGAAATCAGAGCTAAATAGAATTTCAGGGCCTTTACCAAAGTAAATGCTAAAGGCAACTCTCACATCAATTACATCAGCAGCCATATTATCCTCCAAGTGCTTGAGGTGTCTATCACATAATTCCCATGAAGTGTAACTGAAGTCATATGGCTGATTTCCCTCCTGCACAATAAGTCTTTAAATCTCTTCCTACATGGCAATCTATCTTATCATTTAAAAAGGGAACTATAAGATCCAGAAATACATTTTAAGCAGGAAGAAAGCTATCCTATTTGTCCTGATTTCGAAAGAGTTAAAGCAGAATAAATGTAAAACAAAGGTGAACGTTTAGCATGACTTGAGACATTGACTTTTAACTAGCGGATACATATACAGATTTTTCTATATTTGCACTTGTTTAAAAGAATCTTGTCAAGTCAAATTATTGTGGCCTGAATGTGTTGATATATGTAATAAGCCACTTATTTTGTTGTGGTTGTTAAGTGCCATCAAGTCAGTTCCAACCCATAGCAACCCTGTATAGGGTTTCCAAGGAGCAGCTGGTGAGCTTGAACCACTGACGTTGGGTTCAAACCAGCTTTGCAGTCCAGTGTATTAACCCACAGTGCCACACCAGTTGTTTATTGTTAAATAAAAATGAAACCATTTTCCCATGGAAAACACTACTTCTACATTTGTAAATTATTAATTTGTTCAGCAATGCTTTTAGGTTTAATCAAATTCAGTGTGCGTCAATGCATTAATATTTTATTAATCTTCAAATACATGCCAAAGAACTCATTAACAAAGTTTTGAAGTAAAAACTATTAATATTTTTGAGTGCTTATGTTGGCTCAGGGAAGATACATTATGCCTTCCTCATATCACCTCTTGTAAAGCTTCCAGTAAAACCAAGTTACTTGTCTAAAGTATACCTAATAATAAGTATTAAAACAGGGCCAAAGCAGAGCAGTCTGAACAGAAGCCATACTTTCAATAACTACTCCATGCTGCATCGAAGAATTCATGGAGATTTTTAAATCTAACAGAATTTACTTTATATATTTGGAATGTAAATGGAGTTCAAGTGGTAGTATATGCTTAAATCATTTCCAGGTGTTAAAATGTTTTTGTTTTAAATGATAGTATTCTACAAGACTTTTCTCTAAAGGTCATACAGGTCAAAAGTTACTGATATAAAAATTATTGTTATACAGGCATCAGCACTGCAGTGAGTTCATATTATTCCATCTTTGAAATAAAATTTTAATTTAGATGTTCCAGAGCCCATGCTATTTGATAGGTTCTTCATTGTCTCCCCTACAAGTGGTTTGTTTTAAATTAGCTATATTCAGGTTGTTTTTGTAAGAGGCCCCCTGAGCAAAAAACTTTTTTTTTTTTTTAAATTAAACAAATTTTGCTTAGTATTTAAAATAATTTGAATATAAAAGCTTTGAAATAAAGTGTGAAATCTCTGAGTCAACCCCAGATCAACTCCCTAATTTACCTGTCTGCCTCACAGATTCGTTCACATTTACATTTTACATCTACTTCCTAAGAACAACTTGTTTGTAACCTTTATCCTTAAATACTAGTTTTTCTTCTAAGACTCAGATATATTCAGAAAGACTAAGCAAACGGGCCATTTAATAAATAAAAGAAAAAAGTCACAGTTAGTAAGTCACAGTTTCTCTCTCTCTCTCTAGAATACAAATTTATTCTCTCTTCTAGAATACATAGTGTTTATGGGACTTTGATAATTTTTTTTTTTTTTTGCTCCCAAATTATTGTTAAGTAATGAAATCTCTTAATAGCAACCCTTTTTGAAAATGTAGTGTGAGCATATATTTACCTGACAAGAATCAATTCCACCTTCTTCATAACCTGCACATACCATATTTCCTGTAATGTTATATTCTACCATTTGTTGTTGGCATCTGTCATTTGATATAAGAGGAACCTCAGCTTCTTGCAATATATTTGCAGTAGGACCTGTTCAAAATGAATGAAGTAACAAACCATTCAGAAATGATCAACATGTATCATGAATGAATCATCATCAGTCTTGTTTATTCATACATTTCACTTTCATTATGGAGTACTGTGCGTATGTATAATGGAACTAAATGCTAAACTTTCTGCTTTATAGCACGTAATAAAGCCCATCTGTAGATTTTTGTCAAATGGGAAATACTTTCTTCCCTAATGGCTATCAGGAATAGTAGATGGGACTAAATAGTTTTCAGGTATTCTCAGTAGTTTAAACAGTTATAGGATTGCTCATTTAAAAAAAAAAAAAAATGAACACAGAGTTTCATTCATGGAAATTAGCAATGGCTCAGAAATCCATAAGGGCTTTTCATTTGGCACCTGAAGAGGTGCTCTCATATAATGGCATTCAGCTCCTTTGTAGTGTTGTATAAGTGAGCAGGTGCACATTGAGTAGAAGACAAAGCTCAGATGAACTGTGCCCTGGTCTAAAGGCAATCAGCTTGTCATCACATCTGCAGTCAAGAGAAAGGCAGCATTTTTGCAGCAGAGTGTACTTCCATGCTGTTTACAAAATGACTCATACACTGAAAGCCTGGATCTGTTTTCTGAAATAGTAGTCTCAAAAGGGATATAAAGGAAGCTGGTGTCTAGTGCCTTGGAAAAGGTACAGGATAAGCACTTTCTAATAATTATCACCTCCTTTTGGTTTCCTAAGAGAAATACCTCTGACATTATTTCCAACTAAGTTGAATCTATGCATTTAAATAACTAAAGAAACAAGCAAGTATGTGTGTGTCAATGTGTACCCTGCTTAGGTGCAAAACAGTCTGCATATGATTCAATATTTGGTAAATGCTTACCAACAGACTCTCCAAGGTTTTCCTATTGTATGGTGTAAACACTGTGACCATGACCAGTTTCAAGGTACCAGCATGACACTGAACACAAACTGGGAGGATATGTGCACAAATGGCTTTTACCAGCTGGTGCCAACATCCTAGTAGTGCAAAACTAGATGACTTTACAGTTTGACAATGAACTGTAAGCTAAGAAATTGAAGTGGAGTAAGAAAGTCAGTATCTCACTATTGTTTTATGAGGAACACAGATGGGGTGGTGACTTTAGTTTTAGAATAATAAAAACTATAAGTTAGTTTTGTTATGTGTCAATGAATTAAAAAAATAAGGCTAGGCAGTTGACAAAACTCTGATACAGGAAAATTTGAGTAATTTCCTTATATTTAATATTTAATTGTCACCATAAGTTACAAACAGGACAATTTAGAATAGCCACACACACATAATCATGCATACACAATTTCAGTAGAGTTGTTTTACTTTCACTGATTGCTTTAATTTAACTAATATCATCAAAAGAGCAGTAGTAATTGAGTGGTAGAGTTCTTGCTTTCCATGCGGGATACCCAGTTTTGATCCCTGGCCAATGCATCTAAAATGCAGCTGTAACTTACATGCCAGTAGACGCTTGTGTGTTTCCATGATGATAAACAAAGGCAGTAGGAATAAAGACCATCTAATGTACTTCCAGAAATCAGCCAATGAAAACCCTATGAATCATAATGATCCATTTGTTTATGCATGGGGTTGCCATGAGTTGGATTCAACTTGGTAGCAGTTAACAACAATACATGCTAACTCATCTTTTGCTAGCCAACATTATAGTAATGGTTTTCTTGGAGAGTTAATTAGCATAACACACATAAAAAAGGGAAACTTGAATTTTATTAAATTAAGAAGATAGAAATCCTAAGGCAAAGTACATAAAGTTGACTAAATTTGCCATCATCCATGAAGAATTTAAACATGACCTGGGAAGTTTAAATAAAATTGATCTCAGATGTAGCTATTTCTCTTGGAACTATGCTACTCTTAGAGATCTTTTACAGTTAGATATATGTCTTTGGTAACAATAAATAAATTCAAGCCAAGCTTACTCACTTGAAAAATAAAACAAAAAAATCCATTTCTTATGAAATAAAATTCCTTGAATATTGTTAGTGGATAATTTCTTTTTGAAGAGCTAATTTTGTGGTCAAAATGTTTCTGATATAGAAACTCCCTTTTGGCAGCGACAAAGTAGTCAGGTAGGACAGACTCTGTTGGGGAGGGGCTGAAATCCCAGAGACACTGCTCTCACAGAACAGCACCAGATCTCTGGTCTAGCATAAGAGTCAGGGCATCAGTTTCCCACAACCGCTAGTGGAAAAATCATGGTATAAAGGAAAATACTGCGATTAGAAATCGGTCATGACACAGGACTCCTTCTGCAGCCATCCCACCCGGGTGGAGGTCAGAGGGCACGGCTACAGCCAGACTGGAACAGGGAACCTGCACTAAAAGTGACACAGTGGCAAAAGGAGGTTTTGTGGGATTCTACACATTTTTTTCCTTCTCTTCCCTGTCATGCCTTCTTTGCTCAGCCCGACGCCTTCAGGCAGGTGGGTGCGCACCCCCCCAAAAAAGAGTCCAGTGTAGAGACGACAGCTTTCCTACGGCACATAGAGAAAGAGCCCCATAGGTCTAAGGGCAAAATCTATGACTGCTGCTTTTGACTTCTGCCTGTGGGTCCCAGCCCTAAAGTTAACTTGTGCGGGACCCTTTACACCTGCCTATCCAGCAAGAAAAAAAGCAAGTTTGGCCTGACAGACAAACCATATGAACAATCTGTAAAACCCCAACATAAAAAGATGCAACTAGTTCAAGAATTACGCTGTGCATACGCAGATATTTAACTGAACTTCAAAGACAAAAATAGTAAACAATCTTTCTACAATCAACTTCTCAATATCTATCTGTTCACCTCTATGGTGGTGACTAGAGGAGGGGCCTGAGCGAGTGGACACTCCCACATGCTACTGGAAGCTTCTACGGTGCACACACACTGCCTGTGTAGCAAGGCAACTGGCCAGTTAGCTACAGTTTTATTTCTGTTTCAAAGTGGTGGTTTTTGTCTCTGCTTTTATATTGCTTCTGCTTTTGGGCCTTTTGATCACACATTTTCCCTGGAAGTGGAAGCTTTTTCTCCCTACTTTACCCAAGGAGAGTCAGCAATCTTGGCAAGATACCCAGGCTACAAGCATATCCACTAATATTCTACCATTGAGACAAGAGCCAATAACAGCTGCTAAGCATTATATGCAGAAAGGAAAGCCTATCTCCTGATCATATCCATAAGGAGACACACAGTAAGCTTAATAACACAGCAACAAACATCAATTTAAGTATTAAAAATCCACACAACTACTGGACAAGAGGACATATCAAAACATGTCCAAAACCAGAAAAGAGTAACTGACACAAATAAGCTGGAAAGAGACAAAGGCTTTCTAGAAGAGGAAGAGCAGGTTTTGGATTTGCCTGAGAAGGAACTCAGAAGAATGATATGAAAATAAATTCAAATGCTCCGAAAAGGGGTGGAGGAAAACAAGGGAGAAGTCATAAAAGTACTACAAGTGCAATCAAACATGACTGATACAGCAATGGAAACAATTCAAAACCTGCAAAAAGAGGTCCAGATGATTAATAATAAAATATCAGAAATGGACAAGACACTGAAAGGAGAAAGGAGCAGAATTGAAGAGATGCAAGCCAGAATCAGTCAGCTGGAAGACAAATCTTTCAATACTGCTAGTATAGAAGAGCAATCAGAAAAAAATGTTTAAAAAAATCTGGAGAGTCTAAGATTTATGCTGGATAACATGAAGAGGAACAACTTAAGAATTATTGGCATTCTGGAACAGGAAGAATCAGAAAAGTCCATAGAGGAGGCAGTAGTAGAGCTTCTGGAAGAAAATTTCCCTAACATCTTGAAAAATGAGAAGATAAACATTCAAGAAGCCAAACATAACCCAGGAAGGATAGACCCCAAAAGAAAATCACCAAGACATATAATAATCAAGCTCTCTAAAATCAAAGACAAGGAGAAAATCCTAAAAGCAGCCAGGAAAAAAAGAGATATGTTACTTACAAAGGCAAGCAAATCAGATTAAGCTCTGACCATTCAGTAGTAACCATGTAGGAAAGAAGGCAATGGGGAGACATATACAAAATCCTAAAAGAAAAAAAATGCCAATCAAGAATCATCTATCCAACAAAACTGTCAATCAAATATGATGGTGCAATCGATACATTCAAGGATAAACAGAAGCTAAGAGATTTTGTCAGAGCCATGCTGAGAGGAAAATTTATTGCGATAAATGTGCACATCCAAAAAGAGGAAAGAGCCAAAATTGACACATTAATACAGCATCTCCAACAATTAGAAACTGACCAATAGAGGTAACCTACAGTCACCAAAAGACAAGAAATAATAAAGATAAGAGCTGAAATAAATGTGATGGAAAACAGAAAAACTGTAGAAAGAATCAACAGGTCAAGAAGCTGGTTCTTTGAAAGGACTAACAAAATTGACAAACAATTGTCAAACATAAGAAAAGAAAAGAGAGAGAAGACACAAATAACTCACATTAGAAACCACATGGGCAATGTAACAATAGAACCATATGAAGTCAAAAGGATAATAACAGAATACTATGAAGAGTTGTACTCCTGAAAATTCCAAAACTTAGAAGAGATTAATGCATTTTTAGAAAAAACACGCCTACCAAAACTTACACAGAGTGAAGTAGAAAACTTGAACATACTCATAACAATAGAAGAAATTGATTAGGTCATCAAAAAACACCCAACCAAAAGAAGTCCAGGCCCAGATGGCTTCACTGGTGAGTTTTACCAAAGATTCAGGGAAGAGCTGTCACCAATTCTACTCAGATTATGCCAGAATATAGAGGAGGATGGAAAACTTCCTAATACTTTTTACGAAGCAAGCATAGGCCTCATACCAAAATCAGGTAAAGACATCACGAAGAAAGAAAATTATAGATCAATATCCCTCATGAACATAGACACAAAAATTCTCAACAAAATCCTAGCCAAAAGAATCCAACAGCACATAAAAAATAATAATAAATACATCATGAC